GTTCTTTCTTATTCAGCGTGTCAGTTGAGACACACGTGTAGCAATATGTACGTGATCTGATACAGCCCCCCCCCCCCCCCCCCCCCCCCCCCCCCCCCGGGTTATCGCCGCTCGCGCCTGGCGTTGTTCGGGTCGTATCAGAAGTTCAGCATGTCGAATAGATGTTAATACCAATCACCGTCACCGAAGGGCATCACAACAGTGTATGGCTATGCGCTTTAACCCATTAGACACCTATAAGTAATTTCTCCATGATACGTATCCCATAAGTCGTGTCATAAGGACGCATGCGTTCCGACATTATTTCTGATAGCTTATTGGTCATTTACTCAAAAACGTTTCCAAATGGCCGCCTTTTGATACAACATGGAGATTATTCATGGCAAAAACCAAATGACAATTTCAATTCTGCAACACAAACTTAAAGACGGAGGCGTTTTCCGGAATTTACATTAACTCATACAAACACATCTGTAAGCAGATGTTTGTTCTCCTTTGCCAATCAACCGGATGCAGGTTTCTGCGAGAAAGCAAAGTATTATCCTTTTTTGAAGAGCATTCAAGTGTATGTTCTATTTTACCGCAGAGTGTTTTTCTACTGGTATGCTGTGTTTATATATCACCCATATCTTTCGTTTATCTGTATGCCGCCTCAGGTGTATTGTCGCAGATATCGCACATATGTTCTGTTTTGTCAAATGGCCGGTTTTTACTTTTGTCAATAGCTTATGTGTTCCCTCTCTTTTGTCAAGCGTCCATATGATCTCCTTTGTCAAGCACTCGTATGATCTGTTATGTCAAGCACTCGTATGCTCTGTTATGTCAAGTACTCGTATGCTCTGTTATGTCAAGCACTAGCATGCTCTGTTATGTCAAGCACTAGCATGATCTGTTATGTCAAGTACTCGTATGCTCTGTTATGTCAAGCACTAGCATGCTCTTTCTGGTATGTCAAGCACTAGCATGATCTGTTATGTCAAGCACTCGTATGATCTGTTATGTCAAGCACTAGCATGATCTGTTATGTCAAGTACTCGTATGCTCAGTTATGTCAAGCACTAGCATGCTCTGTTATGTCAAGCAATAGCATGCTCTGTTATGTCAAGCACTAGCATGCTCTGTTATGTCAAGCAATAGCATGCTCTGTTATGTCAAGCACTACCATGATCTGTTATGTCAAGTACTCGTATGCTCTTTTATGTCAAGCACTAGCATGCTCTGTTATGTCAAGCACTAGCACGCTCTGTTATGTCAAGCACTAGCATGCTTTTTCTGGTGTGTCAAGTACTCGTATGATCTGTTTTGTCAAGTATAAAATCTGTTTTGTTAAGCGCCCGCGTAATCTGTTTTGTTAAGCGCCCGTGTAATCTGTTATGTCAAGCACTAGCATGCTTTTTCTGGTATGTCAAGTACTAGCATGATCTGTTATGTCAAGCACTCGTATGATCTGTTATGTCTGTTATGTCAAGTACTCGTATGATCTGTTTTGTCAAATGGCCGGTTTTTACTTTTGTCAATAGCTGATGTGTTCCCTCTCTTTTGTCAAGCGTCCATATGATCTCCTTTGTCAAGCACTCGTATGATCTGTTATGTCAAGCACTAGCATGCTCTAGTATGTCAAGCACTAGCATGATCTGTTATGTCAAGCACTCGTATGATCTGTTATGTCAAGCACTCGTATGATCTGTTATGGCAAGCACTCGTATGATCTGTTTTGTCAAGTATACAATCTGTTTTGTTAAGCGCCCGCGTAATCTGTTTTGTTAAGCGCCCGTGTAATCTGTTTTGTTAAGCGCCCGCGTAATCTGTTTTGTCAAGCGCCCGTGTAATCTGTTTTGTCAAGCGCCTGTGTAATCTGTTTTGTCAAGCGCCCGTGTAATCTGTTTTGTTAAGCGCCCATGTGATCTGTTTTGTCAAGCTACTATAACTTCTGTCTTATCAAGCGCCTGCATATAATTTTTCGCAATGCATCCGTATTTTATTTTTTATGAAACACTTACATGCTCAGCCGTATCTATGTTTTGATGTTTAATAAACCCTTTCCACCTATATTTCTATCCTGACACGTGTTAACGATTGTACTACATACGAGTTGACAAACTGTATAAAACCGTGCTCTCTAATAAGTGCGATTAAAGAGTGTGACAGATAGCTGCCCACGGGCACACAGTATCACGTTCTTAGGAATGGAATGCCAGTTCAACATGTACATTTCCAATATTATTTTAAAGCTTATAATTATCCATGAAAGAAAGATTATCTATTTACAAAATCGATGTGGCGAAAATCTTGAGAGAAAAAAATTCCGAGAGATGTGTGATGTGTTTATATTTCTCATAAAGAAAGTGAATAAAAGGGACAGAATATCTACTTCAGGATTTCGTTTTTCGATCGATCAACAGTTATCGATCTTACAAAAAGCATTAGGCTGTAGAAGACACTTACACAAGCTAGATTATATATGCACCATTAGCGTGTCTTCATTACCCTCGGATTAGTCTATTCTAAAACGTTCTGTGTCCGAGGGAGGAGGAAGGGTGACGCTCGATCTGTGGATGCCCAATTACCCAAGGCCATATCAAACGATACTTGCTCGATCCTAGCCCTACTATTTCTACTGAAGCTTACGCTCAGATCCTCCACCTGAACGATAGGTTTAATGGCTATCCTCCTTGATGCATTACTTAAATGTTTTATAGAGTTTCTTGTTTCGAACCGATGACGTTGGGGATGGTGATGGTACTCTATCTGATATAGACGAATGTTCGTTTCCGGTTGACATCGATTTGAGCGCGTGCTGCGGGCTTTTCGAGGCTAATATAATCCTACAAACTGTCCATACATGGTACTGAAGCGTTCTAGTCGCTAGTTTTATGTCAATTGCAATTATTTGTGATCAGCGATAAAGAGATACGGAAGACGACAGGAAAACCAATTTGGCTTTGTAGATTATCGAGTTTCTAAACAACGATACCAGGTCAACAGATATTTAACAAGCATGACACGAGATATAAGTAATCAATATATTACCAACTCAAGATTTTCCCATCTAATGCTAATACAATGATGGAATTCCGATGTATTACCGATTATATACATGTAGGTGCATCACGTGACAAAATGCTGAATGCTGATTGGTTAAAGTTATTTTCACTTTGAGGGGGAAGTGACAGGTCCTGGTATCAGTGCCAACGATTGTCACTTTTTCAGCATACAAATCGTCAATAATACTTTATCGTTTCATTTCATTGTAGTCACTTAATATATCGAAACCATTAAAGCTTTCGTTTTGGGACATACCATATAGTAGTCTCTAAACGAAATAATGCCCGAACAACTAAATATATAAAATGTACTTGGGTTGCTGCAGAAAGCAGCTAGGCAGACTTTGATTGGTCCGTACCGTGAACTTAAGCTCAATGTCGATACTCGTGATTAATTATGTATTATGTCACGACAAACGCAGTGTCAGCTATGTAAATTTGTGTCTGTCATTTAAATGTCACAGAAAATGTCAATGTGTCTTCATTAATCACGAATCGACCGTGTGACACGAATATAACGAATTTAAATATTTAACCAATTGAAGGGTTAACTACTCCGTGTGAATCAATTAATAAGGACCGTTTTACAGCAATAAAACCCGATATGATCAACCTGCATTCATATCAGCATGAACATTGTAAAAATGTAGTTCAATACCAACATTATTATTATAAATTCATCGCCATTTAACATTTGCGATACTATCGTATCTGTGTCGTCAATCCAAATGGTGTTTCAGGAAAAGACTAATGCCACATTAACGTTTTCTTCTATGATGATCTCGAATTCTGCGAGACTAAGGGAAGCGCCAAAATGACACCGATCCCATTGCGTCCTTTGATAGAGAATAGGAACAGGAAGTTGTCTTAGAGAGGGAAAAAGTCGTCTTACATGAACGCGAACATGTTGTCTTGGCATAAAATCAATTGTCGGTCATAATGGTTGTTAGTTGGATATAAATGGTTTAACGTTCTATCAGCAGCTGAGGTCATTTAAGGACGTGCCTCCATGTGTGTTGTGTATGTGTGCATGTGTATGTGTGCCTTAGGCGAGATGTGTTGGTTTAATTGCCTCCTTGTGATAGCGCGGATCTGACGCTGACGTTAAATTGCTATCTCACTGAAATACCATTCCGAAGTCACCTAGCACAGCATTCTACCCGGTCACATTATACGGACAACAGATGAACCAGTTGTTGTCATTACTGTTATAATGGAGTACCACAATGTTGTACAAATGGAACAAAAAAAAAGTGATCGTTGAGTAACGCCAACAAGTCGTACACTTACATAAAAGGAAATGAACCACTTGTCATAGGGGAACACCAATAATCAATTGGAGGCGGATACCTAACTGTTTTATACAGAGAGGATCTTACATGCGGGTCCATGTCATATTGAATCTATTAAACAAGTTCCATAATTTAATGTGACACGAGCCTTAAAGCGAGCGTTATATCAAATTATTGAACGAATATAATAAATTCAATATGACATGGACACGAATGTAAGATTCTATTCATCACATAGCATTCATAATTTGAAAAAGTCTTCAAACACAATTATATGTTATCAGCTCTTTATCGGTCAAACCCGAAATACCCCAATCATAGCGCTGTCGTTTCGCGCAGAGCAAATAAGTTTCAATTTTTGTCTTAAATAATGAACAGTTTTAAATGCAATGAAATTAATAATGACAAAATAACCATTTCAAATTCATTATAAATAACAAAAAACAATAAATGTATCATGAGGTTAAGTAAGTAGAACCTGTAGTGGCGTAGTAATATGTTTCCGCAGTTTTGACCAATCGAGGTACCTGTAGGTTTTATTACACGCGTGTAATACCATATTTATGGCATGGTCGTATGACATAGTGAAAAGGGTTAGTTATGTTATAAATAAACTTATCAACAAGTTAATTCGTTATACGTTTAAGTAGCGTTATGTACGTACCCGGAAGTTTTCCGACCGGAAGACATCGAATCGCTGGTGTGTGGCCCCTGTCCTGTTGAGGTGGTTCTTCACATGGTCGTAATCATCTATCTTGGTGATGGCCTCGTCCAGTGTGGTCATCACGAGAGTCGCGTGCTGCTCTAGGTACTCGTTCTGACGTAGTTCGTCCTCTGATTCTATGTTCGTGACCTTATCAAATATTGCCATCAGGTCGGCATTCGATTTAAACAACCTGTTAACAGAACGATACATCTACTATTAGTGGGTATTATAGCTGACCGAAATATGTGTCAAAACTGTTCATATCTAAAATGTGCTGAGAAAAAAACTAAACTGCTGCCAGATTACCATACTTGATTAAAAGCCTCTTCTTATCCCCAAAGCACTATAAATTCGCATAACATGTTTATCCTAAAAGAAAGATCGTACACGGACAAAAATTATGCCAGGAAAATACTCCATTCAGATGTCATATTTACACATTTTTATTGGGCAAAAATATGACCGCGTTTGGTTTCTTGCCAATTAATTAACACATAACCATCAACCAATGAAAGGTGTCGTAACATCGCAGACGTATATTTACATTCTTAAGACCCTTTCTATTTAGAGACAAATTTTGAACATTCCATTGGGAGATCTCTAATTAGGGAATTGACTGCAGTATGTTAAAGATGGTTTATTTGATAAACCATAAATTAATAAGATGCCACATTTCGAACGTACAATGTACCACTTTTGTAACACCTCATTTTAGGCCAGACCGTAAACTAGATTAAGGAGCGCCATGTTGTTTAAATAATGTGTGGAGCGCCGCTCGTGCGCACGTGTTCGAGGCCTGTCTGTTTGCGTTACATGGCCGGGGGACCAGCAGACGTCGTAATCAGATTTGTTTTATAAAGTCAGCAAAATCAAAGATGGAATCGAATGTTGTCACTAGACGGGTCCTTATACAGTCATTGGACTTTATCCTTCGGTAGACGATTTCGTAAGTCCGGCAGCTGGGCCAGACAGGTGACAAAACAATACGTGGCTGTCTTTGGATCCGGAAAAAATGTAGCCTGGCTGAGTCGGGATACTATTGATCCCCAATGAACAGGTCTGGTTTTAATTTAATCCAAAGTGACCCTAACCGCACACAGAAGGGTCATGTATACTGTAGAGTATATTAATGGATACAATAAAGTAAGATTGATGGCAGAAAATCCCCCAACAGAGTTATGAATGCGACCTCTGTGGCAGATGTAGTATTAGAAGAGAAAATGTGTTTTTGGACGCCTGTCTAATGCTACTTCCCCAAGATTATGTTGGCGCATTACCAGGAAGACGGATAGGTGTCCTGTAGGTAGAATGTATCAAGAACGGTGAATCAATGTCATTCTGAACTAACTACTTGGTTGAGTCTGTCACCGACATATGTGATAGGTCTCTTGTTCAACAAAAGAAGGAAAACATGTTTTTGATGGAAGGATGGGTTTCCATTGTTGTAGAACATGTATCGATCTAATGAAAAAGGGTCACTCAGTGATGTACACGTGCACTTAACACCGACTATGGAAGGAACCTAGCTCGTGACAATGATTTATAAGACATATGTGACAAACTAGCTAAAATCTCCTGAAAACTTGATAAATGTATATTGGACATTCCCACTGCCTTGAATTACAACAATCTCCCAAAATAAAATCTACTGCTACACTCGTCTTTTGTACTTCGTTATACAGAAGACAACGATCGTTTTAAGACAATTTTACGTCGATGGTAGACAATGAACTAACTATAAGTTCTTCTCAGATGAAAAGAACACAAAACTAGGCTAAGGTGTATCTGTTCTACGTGGTATCAGTTACTGGGAATGTGGGAACGGCATTCATGGAGATAGTTATATTGTGATGAATATCTTAGAATTGTATTATGATATATATATATTTATATATATATACGTTCTCTATCAAAACGCTTTACAGCTGTACACACATGTGATTTGGTAATGAAGGGGTTGAACTGACATCCGTTTATTGCACCAATAAAAAACAAATATAGAAATAAGCATGTAAAGCTAAACATGTGTTTTGGTATTAAAATGGTTAACCTTAAATCGGTCAAATTATTAGCACATTTATACATGAGTTTTACGGACATTAAATTCCTTTGTTAATGTCGGATTTAATGTTGAATTTGCCGACGTGACTGCGGATTACGGTGTCTTTAGTGCTTGTTGTGGGATTTTCCGGTCCTGGGTACAGCCGTCTCGCGTACAGAAATATATTTTTCGTCGACTATTGGAGCCAGCGATTTATCATCGCCTGGTTTGGTGGCGTTATGAATCACAAGTTTTACCTAAACAGCATCGGCTGACTATCATGATGTTTTAGTTTTCTACGTAACATACAGTAGTATACTCCCTTGGTTAGGTGGGAAGTTGTGGTTTCAAGACTATCAATATTCAAAGTCATGTTGAATTGAAAAAACAACTGAGTCAGTGAATATAACCATCTATACGTAGTATATATAACCCTGAACGTAGTTTATTTAACCCTCTATATAGTAAATGTATATATATAAACCTCAATATAGCATATATAACCAAATATATATAACATTGATTGGATTGTAAATGTATTCGTTGTTTATTCTGATATTAAACAAGCCCGTGGTCGTTTACAATCACACAAAAATCACCGGAAGTTAGTATAACACTGTGGTTACATAAACCGGAAGTAAGTATTACATCAGGCGTGATAGTTACCATACCTGTATTTTTCCTCGTAGGTAGAAAGGTAAAAGAATTAATTGAAATTAATTTGAAATTGATGCAATCATATCTTAACTAAATAGAGCGTAATGTGTGTGGTCGAAAAAGCAATTTCCTGTAAAAAATAATAAAGCAAATTCAATCAATACAGTATCAGGTAACCTGTTTAAATTCATGGCAGAGCAACAGAACAATATAACACTTGTACCTTAATTTGATTTATACCCCATACGTAGAAGAAATTAAATTTTGTAATCAATTTGTTCATTCGTCCGCTGTCATATTCCCGGACCGTAACTTTTGAAACACCAAGGACAATACTTGTTGAAACTTGTTACATATAACTTTGTAGATGACTAGACAGTATGCCCCGCTTACCACACGAATCAGTAAAAAATGAGACATTTGTTTAAATCTCTGTAAATATGTTTGGTCCACGACTTCTGGAACGATGAACAAAACTCAACAAAACTGTATAGTTATGTGTTTCTGCTTGGACAGTGTGTCACATTACACACACTGGTATTTACATCTTGGTCATATATATATATATATTCAAGGACATCATTTGTGTTTAACTCGGTATATTTACATTTGCATGGCATTGTCACTATATAGCCTTTTTGAAAGCTGTGTCGTTGATGGGACTTTAATTACCATGCATCATGAGACACAATTCTTAGCGTATTAATACAACACTGACCGGAACTACAATATCCAATATAAATAAACATGACGGCTACTGAAATATCGCTGGGCATTGTGAGATTTAACAATGGCATTGTAAATTTATGTGCAAAATAAAAAAATAAAATAAAAAAACACTTTTATTACAACGAAAACAAGACCAAGGTCTGAATATCGTACAAAATGCACATCGGTTGAAATCACCAATAGAAACAATTTTAACGCTCATGCAGTTTATCAGAAATATCGTCTGTTACACTGCACTGGTCAACATGGGTTCGTTCCAAATGTCTGAAATACACATATTCTATAGACCTATTGACACATATGTTACAGACCTACTGATATGAGTCACATCACACATAAACATTTCAGACATTTGTAATGAACCTGTGCTCCGTCGCAAGATCACTCACTTCAAACGCTATCAGTTTCACGCGTCTCGCATCTACGGTTCCTCAGTTTAATTAGTTTAAATCAATTTTATTGCAACAAAAGACAAATGGATTGGACAAAAGTTATTGCAACTTACTTACGTCCTTTCCGTAACAGAAAATATATATACAAAATTAATGAGTCACGTAATAACCTAATACAATTCATATATGTATATATATATAAGATGTTAAAGATGGGTAACAGCAAAAGAGGTAATGATAGGATTAGGGACACCAACGTATAGTTTTTAAATATGTATTCGGAGAGTTTACTTGAGATCGCGTGTGTGATTTTCCCAATCAAGTCGGCGTAAGCAGTATAACTAATCTATACATACATGTCCTTCTGCTTTTCTAAAGTTCAATCACATTCCGTGCCGCATTTGCCTTTCTCCTGTGTCACTCCAAGTCCTTTTGTGAATTCCTGCCTTACATACTTAGCCGACTAGATTAGGAAAACCGAACACGCACTCTTTGTCATATGGAAACGGTTATGATATTGATGGACGCTATAAGATTGAAGTTAGTACACAGAGATCGTTGGTGTTTAATTCTGACGACAGGTCAAATAACGAGGCTGTTATAGAATCTACCGATTGTTGTCAGGTTCCCATACAATCAACAAATAAATTCACGCATGGATTCTTCACACAAACTTCCAAAAATAACTCCCTCGTGGAGAGCAAGGTCGGATTTACGGTGTTCACTGTATTTGTCCATGCGCGAAATTTGTTCCGGGGGAAAATCGAAACAATTCAAAATCTAACTTTCAGCTCAGAGTTCTATTGATAAACTTAAATCACCCTATATACATATCATACGCAATTGTATTGATACTGAATTGTGGAATAAAATTGAAGTGTTTGTTAAAATAGATCATAAATACCATACAAAAACAGTTCAATGCTTAAATATAGAAAGGACAACAGGAGCTAAGGAGACACTAAAACAAAAAGAAAAATGTTCTTGATCCGGAAACGGAACCACGTACTCTGGAAGAATAAGCGTATCCTTCACCACATGAGGTACTCGTGATGACAGATTTTATGAATTATTGGGAAAATATATGAATCCACAACGATTCAAGACGCAGCAAACGCCTTTTTCATTCATGGAAGATGTGAAATTTCTGGTGCAGCAAAAACGAAAATCGAGCTAGTAATGTTCCTTTATACAAGTATATAAGATTACCAGCAATATGAAGACGTTGATAAGTAGTAATAACTCCTACCTAATCACTATTCCATTTTCTGGCATTAACTACTACAAGGAATGTGGTCCGATCGTATCAGACCTCTATCCAATCATATAAACGCAAGTCGTATCCGGATGATCACAGCGTACTCTCGACGA